AGCCATGCCGGGCAATACACTTTATAACCTAGTAACCCACGTACGCCATCTTATAAAAAAGTAAACAAACAAATATAAGGAAAACAATTTATCATTAAATGTAAAAGCTATGTAGAGCTGGCTACTGAACGTCAAAAAAAAAGGAACCAAATAAGATAGGGTTTGAAGTGGACATATCACTTGATTCGGCTAATGATCACATAGCAGACTAAGCCGTCTCAACTTTACATGGAGAATAAAAACCCTACATTACTGGCTTCCTCACTTTGTCTATAGAAATATTGGTGTTTGTATAGAATACAGTTTTCTTAACATGCTCACCTTTTCCATAAACCTGCGTCATCTTCGTTTCAAATTTAAATAATTTTTAAATTTTAGACGCCTGAGCGGTATAATAAATTTACACTAGATCCATTCTGCTGTGTTGTCGGTTTCTGTCTTTTTGTTTGTGTTCGGAAATTTAATCATAGTTATCAAATTATTTCATTCGATAAAATACGCCATCTGAACATCATCTCATAGAACTCTACAGTCAATACAAAACTCCTTTACGGAACACAATACTAAACGGTACTTATCGATCCTACAAACTCATTCCTTCATGCGGAAGAATAAGACAACTCTCTAATGTCATTTTATCAAAATACTTATTTTTTTTTTTATTGCTGGCACATTACAGCTGCTCGTTATGTCGTGATCTAGAGCGATAAGAAACATGATAACGTTCAGTCAACTAGTTTCCTTCTAGAAGCACCGTATATATAATAGAGAGCTTTAAGTACTCATTTGGGCTGAGTTTTAACACTAATGAATCGGACACAGACTGATAGCTTTGCATTATTTATTAGTTTACCATTTATCATAACAGACGAAGTCCATGAACAAGTGTTGATGTATTCGTCCAATAACGGCTGTCTTTTCTTACACGATATTTACAGTGCATTAACACTAGTACGAAAAAAACACACATACTGATACTCAAAAAACGAATACTGCTTTTTCGAACATTATACTGAAATTAAGATATTCATGAAATTTCTTTAATTATAGACAATTATTACGACATTTATTTAATATTTCCCAATAAGGAAACCATATCAGGATGTATCTTACCTCCTCTATCGTGAAAACATTTCAACCCATTTAATCAATAAACAGCTTTTATTAATACAACTTTCAGGATGGATGAAGAAAAAAACAACGAAAACTTCAATTAAGAACACTTTAATAATGTCGCAACTTAAAAATCCGATATGCAAAAATGTGTAAATACATATTACAAAATTGTTTTAAATAAATTAGTTTTTTATAACATGTCAAAAGATAATTTACAAAACAATTTTCATTGTGGATCAATACGTATACCATGAAACGAGTTTAAAATAAAGACTCCACTTCCAGCCTTGTTTTCTAAATACAAAATTCTATGAAGGGGTCCCTCAACATTACTCATAACTGAATCAGGGATGTTTAATTCTTAGCTGCTACTAGCCACCCAGTGGCACAGCGGTAAGTCTGTGGACTTATAACGCTAGAAACCGAGTTTCGATACCCGTGGTGGGCAGAGCACAGATAGCCCATTGTGTAGCTTTGTCCTACTAATACAATACGTTTCATTTCTGTTTTATAACATAAAATTATAAACCGCAATAGGAAATCTAGCAAATAACTTCGAATCACCACAGACGGTTTAGTGAAAATGTTTCTGAATGTGAAACTGACATATATCCTAAGGAATCCTGCTCTTACATGTCAGTTAGTTGATTTGTTTCTTTTTCATATCGCATCCCAGTGGCACTGTGGTAAGTCTGCGGATTTATAACGCTAGAAATCCAGTTTTGATACCCGTGGGTGGGCAGAGCACAGATAGCCCATTGTGTAGCTTTGTCCTACTAATACAATACGTTTCATTTTCCTTTTTGTAACTCTGTGCTTAACCACAAGCAAACAAACTTTTTCATATTTGCGTCTTAATGAAAGTTTGTTTCTGTGCTACACTAAGAATCGAAAATGATGATATCAGACATATCATTTTCGTTTTCACTTCTACAAAATATGTGGCAAATAAAAATAAAGAAAGATAGACAAAAACCGTCTAAGCAATAATATTGTTCTAAACAGTCAATTGGGGTTTGTTTTTGTGCGGAAGTACGTGATAGAAAAGTACCAATTTTGTTTCTAGCTCTAGTGTCTCACATATAGTTTTACTACTTTGATTTTAAAAGTTCCAGATTGAATTTTAACTTTATTTTAAAGATGCGTATCAATGACAATATCTTTTTTTTTTTTCAGTAGTTCAGAGAACTGATTTGTATGCGTTCCCAGGAAGAAACGCAGACTTGCCATGTAACATCACTCCGGAAGCCACAGATGATAATTTGGACCTAGTATTATGGTACACAGACAAGTCTCCATCGCCCATTTACAGTCTTGACGCCAGACACGGTGGTCTCGAGACAGCAAGACATTGGAAGAGTGATGATATGGCATCTCGGATCTCCTTCAACATTTCTGGGAGTATTGCACGCCTTCAGCTAGATCCTGTTATGAAACAAGACGAGGGTGCCTTTCTTTGTAGAGTGGACTTCCGCAAAGCGCGAACACGCTACTTAGATTTGAAATTAAGAATAATAGGTTAATTTATATTGTCTTTATGATGAATCTCTACCCTAATATTTTTAGACAATAATTATTTTTCCTCCTTATACATATTTACCTAGCCGTTTATTACTTTCCATTTGTCTCTATATATTTAACTATAAAATGCCTTCACTATTATTCTATTTAACTCTTACTTCAAGACTAGCTTGGTTAGATTTAACGTCAAAACTGAAACAAGACACCCATTCCATTGCTAACTCTAAGTTGCTGTTTCTCGAATTTTCGATTTGTTTTCTTGTTTTAGCGCAAAGCTATACGATGGGCTATTGCGCTGTCCCTCAAGAGGAATTACACCCGGAATTTTAGCGTTGTAAGTCCATAAAGTTACCCCCTAGCTCACGTAAGGACAAACAATAAGTTAAAATTACCGAAATTCCTTCTTAAAATCAAAGAAGAAATTTGTTTATGAAAACAGAATATTATGAATAACAGCAGGCTGCTCCAAGTAAAATATAAACCTACTTCCAAATCAAAAATACACGGTTGTGTATACGGCTAAATAAGGTACAGCATCATCCACAACAGAAACAGACAACAGTTATCTATCGATTCTGGCTCACAAAGATGTGTGACACTAGTTTTGACACTGAATAAGTTTTTCGCAGCCGCATCTGGAAATGGTACCAATCTACATATAGTTATAATTTTTGTTTGTTTGTAGTTAAGCACACAATGGGCTATCTGTGCTCTTCCCACCACAGGTATCGATACCCGGTTTCTAGCGTTGTACGTCCGCAGACTGCTGTGCCACTAAAGGGCTATAGTTAGAAACAGACTTAGGAAGGCTGGTCCATTAGACGTTCAACGTGTCCCTTACAGAGACGCAAAACATTTAATCTATAAAGGTTTAAGTAACACGTCTAGTGGACCATGGTATATGGTGTATTATTCTTTTTCACCGATTACTCGGGATCCTCCCTACAGCTAGACAGCAGGCTTATACTAACTTGGAAAAGAATTGGTTTAAATCTACCTTATTTTTCTTGTATGGCTGTATTAAAGTATGATGTAGGCAGGAATAAACACTGATGAACCAATCCACATAATGAGAAGAAATTAGCTTATTTCTTCCTCAACGTTTCTGCAAGCTGCCTTCACTTGTACACTGTCGTAACTTTAAGATGAAGTGACTATAAATGATGCTCAAACAGAACTAACTCAACTAAGTTTGTTTGTTTGTTTGGAATTTCGCGCAAAGCTACAGGAGGGCTATCTGCGCTAGCCGTCCCTAATTTAGCAGTGTAAGACTAGAAGGAAGGCAGCTAGTCATCACCACCCACCGCCAACTTTTGGGCTACTCTTTTACCCACGAATAGTGGGATTGACCGTCACATTATAACGCCCCCACAGCTGAAAGGGCGAGCCTCAGATTGCGAGTCGAGCGCCCTAACCACCTGGCCATGCCGGGCCAACTCAACTAACGTAAAAAATATAAAAAAACTTACTTGTGCAGTTTCGCAGTTAATCAATCGAGTAACTTTTTCTACCTGTAGTATATTAAACCTGGTCCTCTTACACTTGAAAAAAAAGAAATACCCACATTTTCATACATTGTCTCAAAGATATTGCTAGAGGCTTTGACTTTCTGTCAGATAGAGTACTAATATTTCAATATCTGTTATATTTATGATTGTCATCATCGAAATAAATATTTGATATTTGTTCTATTTATTTACTTGTTCAGTGTTAATAAATACGAACCATGAATCATTCAATGTTCCAATAAGCATGTATTAAAAAACTACAATTCTCATATCCACCTTTTATGTTATGATACTTTTATTTATGGCTGGTTCTGAAATTTCCCTTTAAGTTTTCTGTCGTCAAGGGTTTAATATATATCCCGCCCCTACCCCTAGAGCACTGTTGTGTAAGTTTGGAATGTTTTACCATCAGAAAAGAAAGAGAATTCTCCTTACAAATTTTCTAAAGCTTAGCTGTTTTAAGTCTCAGATAAGTAATGAAATATTAAAACCCGTGTATTTTTGTTGTTGTTGTTGTTGTATATCTGAAAGTAAACCTGGCAATGAAGGAGTTGTTTATCCATTAAATTACCTGTTTTTCAAAACATTTTATTTGTTACCTAAATGTACAGAAACTAATGGACTTAAATAGAAGTGTTCCCTAATTTTAATATCAATAATAGATTACAACAATTCTAGAAAGGCAGATTATCAGTCAAGAAGCATATTCTATTTCTCACTAACTTGGGTCATTTTTCCCACATTTAGGGTAGAGCTCTTATATAAAAGGCCAGGCCTGGGCTAGAGGTTAGTGAAACGTAAGGTCCAAGAATCGAGTAGCGATATGCCGCTGAATTTACTCTAAACTTTCAGTGACAGTTAATCCTGCTATTCGGTTAAGAGAAATTATGTAGGCGGCGAGTGCTGCTAACCGATTACATTCCATCTAATCAGCAGCTCTAAGTTAACGATGGCTATGCCTGAAACTTGAGGCTTTTAACCTAGCGCTTTTTTGTGTATGTGTGTCTCAAGTGGTGCCTAATAGAACAAATACAACTGAGGAGGTGTGAATGAGGAAAAGATGTTACAGAGGTATGGATGAGGAAAATATGTTATAGAGGTGTGGATGAGGAAAAGGTGTTATAAAGGTATGGATGAGGAAAAGATGTTATAAAGGTATAGATGAGGAAAAGATGTTATAGAGGTGTGGATGAGGAAAATATGTTATAAAGGTGTGGATGAGGAAAAGGTGTTATAAAGGTATGGATGAGGAAAAGATGTTATGGCAAACAGGAACTTTTATATTGCTTGGTATTCAAATTGTGAAATACACAATAACGAGACATAGCTAATCCTGCTACTGGGTTAAGTGTAAGTATAGTTCTACAATAGAAATTGTCATTGGTTGGTAAAAGAGTAGCCCAAGGGTTGGTGGTGGGTGGTTTTAACTAGCTGCCTTCCCTCTAGTATAATACTGCTAAATTAGAGACAGCTAGCGCAGACAGCCCTCGTGTAGCTTTGCGTGAAATTCAAAACAAATAATCTCTTTGTGAATTACCACATGTTATTGTTTCATGGATGTTATAATAATTATAAGGTGGGAATAAAATATAAAATAATTCAAATTCACAATCCTAACTTCTCTGGCTAATGTAAATGATATCACTGTATAACTAAGGCAGTAAAATAGAGTGAAAATTGTTACCCCACAATACGCGCAAGCGTACATAACAGAAAATACAGATCGTAGTTTCACAAGCTCTTTTTTTTTCACTTGTACAATTTGGCTAACATGTATTTCAAATAATACCAAAAATCCCTATAGAGGTAACTTCAGACGAAATATCGCAAATTTATGTTTATTTGAACTTGAATTTTAATTAATAACAAATCTCAGTAAAAGAAAAACTATAACAAAGTCTCGCACATGACTTGTTCTTGATATATTGATAACATTCTTTCGCTGAATTTTTAAGGTTTTCTTGACAAACAAATGTATTCATTAGAATTCAATCTGGGGAAAAAAAGGCTCTTTTTTTTTTTACAGCAAACAACATGCGCAGCACTTGGATTTAGATGTAAGCATCGTTAATCAATCGTTCATTTCCAAAATTTTCAGTAAAACAAACTTTTTTAGATTTGAATTTATAAACCTTCCATTTATCAATACAAATTTTCCGAACACGTTGTGCTACAATATTTACTATTCACAACGTATTAGATACAATAGAATTTGTTCAACATTACAAGATTTCGTGACAGAGCTCATAAACTTACCCTCGTTTTTCATAAACGAGGATTCTTCTACCGTATTCCGAATACAAACTTTTAAAATTCAACAATCTTCTTGCTATTGATTATGTGATTAATAATTTTATAGAAAATCAAGTCCTTTTCAAAACTATCAATTTGGACCTTACTTTTTTAATTAATTTTTCAAGATAATAAAAGAATAACTTTAGTATGGGGACCGTCATTAGTTTTACCTCTTGTTAGTTTAAGCTTTTATCAAAATTAATACAGCCCCCAGTGGCACAGCG